GGGATTAGTAGAAAATTATATTTGAATCACTTGGGTTGATTTTGATTTTTGTAAAATTCGGATTTGTGTTTCATGATGATTAACTGATACAGTAAAAGCGTTTCGATTTGATCTTTTTGCCAAGACTCATTTTCTTACTAAATAAGACCTTGAATGTAAAAGTAAAAGAAAGTTTGGTGTCTTTTTTGGTATATCTGGTTATTCATCTCTCTATCTCTGTGGGGGGGGGGGGGTTTACAAGTTTGGATCTTGGGTCTGTTTTCTTGATGACGTTGAGGAAAAGGAAGAGGAAAAAGAAAGGATCTGGTATGAAAACCCAATACTTATCATTTCTTCAAAATCCAAATCTTTTGGGCGCGGTACATATACATCATCTCCAGTCGTTTTCAAAAAGCTTTCCACGAATTCACCGCCAAATTGCTCGAGTTTTGCAGACAAATCTGGGCAAGCTACTTGAAAACGACTGTAACTTTTGAAGTGTTTGGGTGGTTTTATTGTTGATCAGATTTCTTTGGTGAATTGGGATTGCGGTTGACTTTTCATTCGTCAGTCTTGATTGGAATCTCCTGCTTACTTGTGGTCCAATTACTGTCTTATTATGTGGACTACCTACAATAACTTTTGACTACAGACCTCAGCTCATGAACGAATACTCTTGAGTCAGCTCATGAACGAATACTCTTGAGTCAGCTCATGAACGAATACTCTTTAGCCATCCATGGCGGGTAACGTGGCATGAAGTAGGTCTGTAGCTCTTTGATCCTGTGTTACCTTAAAATCCATAACACGAAATGGGTTTTGAAAAGCCGTTGGTTATTCGGAAGTGAATGAGGCCCTTACTGGAATCCTGGATCGATTTCGAAATGAGTGGATGAGGAAATTAAGTTTAGGTTCGGACTATGAAGATCTTCAAGACCTGCCATTTATTTACCAAATCACCTTTTCGTGCCTTTTATTCTGCTACCTATATAAAGAAGTGATGGGTTTGAAACTTTTTGGTTGTCATCATCCATCTTAACTTATTAATTCGCAACTGATCTTGGACCTTACTTTTTAAATCATTTGACATTATCCTTACACTTATTTAAACAATTCATCGACTATAGGCCATCAATAATTTTGAAGACCTTTAACTCAGCTCCTCACTCTACTTTATCTTACATTCGTCTTTCTCTATCTCACTTCCAATCTCGCCACTTTCCTTTCCACCTTCACTTCTTCCTTCCCTTCCCGTAAGTGACCTTAATTTCTTTTCCAGTAAGTCCGTCCAACCCCCCAAACGACTCTTCATCATTTCTTAATATATAAATTTCTTCTTATCTTTAGATTTCGAAAAAAAAGATGTTATCAACCGGACGTTTACTTCCAATGCGATTAGACGAAATTTCACAAACTGCTACCTGGACACACTGTGTTGCATATTGTCAACTAGAAAGAGAAAGGATAGATTTTACCAAACAACAAATCAAAGCCATCGGAGTAAACTATCAATACCATGAACAACAAAGATTCCTTAACCGATCTCCAACACAATCTTCAAAACTACTCTATGGATCGAATCCTCAACAATTTATCTTTCCTGGTTATTATACTAAAAAATTACATGTTGAGTATTCTAAAAGAAATCAAAGTTTGAGGAAGTCTAGAAAGAAAAAATTAGAAGAGAAGTTTGCTAAGATGTTTAGGGATTCGAAGAAAAGTAGGGTCGAGGTGTTTTCTGATTTGAAAGTTGCTCAATCTCTTCGGTACCAACAAGTTATGGAACGCCAATCTGTTTATGTTTCTCAAGTGAACAGAACTGATGAGGAAAATGGAGCGGAGGTTGAGGTGGTGGTTCATCCTGGGGTTTTTTGGAAGGAGGGACAGGGTTTGGATCAGGTTCGGGAAGATGTCAGGGGTATGGGGACCTTGCCGTTTTGGAGCGTTGTGGATTGGATGGGTAATAGTTATAGGTTCTTTAGATCTTTTCTTCCCTTTCATTTATGAACCTAATCAAATTCATTTGTTTAGATTTATTTTCTTTTTGAAAGATTTGATTTCCTTCTTGTTTTCTTCCTTTTGATTTTTTTCGAGTTTCATTTGTTTCTTAAATTCTTTTTCTTATCTTTAACCTATTAATCTATCTTGACCAATCCTTTTAAATGATAATAAGATTCCTAATTACAACCTGATACAAATTTATATTGAAAATAAAACTTCAGAGGTCTCTTTGAGGTGAACTAAACCTTTTCAAAAGGTTTGATCAAAAGTCTTTGAAAGACGTCATCGATTGTCCAAGGGGTTGCATTCAAAGATACCTTATATTCAAGGAATCTAAGCTACTTGTTTGGATCTTGAGACTCCAGAGACAAAGATCCATCTTCCTCAGCTTCGATTATGAAGAAGAAACTTCAAGTTCTTTGGCATTCCCACCGTACTTATTACTTACCTTTTTGATAATAAATCACATAGAGTCAATCATACAACTATTCCCCAACAATAAAAAAAGTCTTACCATTATGTATGTTCCTTACAACTACATTTTTGAGAACATTTACTGACTAGTCAGTCAAAGACTAAACTAGAATTGTTTACTTACCATTACCATTCATCAAGGAAAAAGGGATGTACAACCATCAAATCACCCCACATTAAAGAATTTCATCATATTGCATTTCAGGAGTGAGAAAGAATTAGAGATTTGGGTTTTTGTTTTTTTAGTTTAGAGTTACTTGATATTATATTAGAATGCAAGGGTACTGAAGTATCATTAAATTGCTTAACAAGTCATGAATGGTACATGCCATGTTGGAAAGGTTTGGGGATCAATCCTTGTCGTTTTTGGTATCTAATAAAGTATATAAATCAGGTCTAGACTCTGACCTGTGTTCAAATAAAGACATCAGTGAATCAGTGAAAGAAATAAATGAGAGAAAAAGAGAAAACACTAAAAGAACAGAAAGAACTAATATGCTTACCACATATAGTGGATGAGACAGCAATACCGCAAGAGCACCGCACTATGTTGCAGTTGCGGTGCGGTTGCGTAGCGCTTTTGGGCGCCGCAATAGCAACGCAATATAGTGCGGTGCCAGCGCTCCGCAATCCGGGTTCAAAAAACCCCTTGGACAGAAACCCGCACCGCAATTGCGGTTGGTTTTTGACGGTTATTTAGGGCAAATATTGCGGAAATAGGGCAATATTGCGCATTTTCCGCAATATTTGCCCGACCGCTCCGCAACGGCAAGTTAGAAAAAAAACACCCCATTGCGGAGTGGTTGCGTAGCGTAATGATGCGCCGACTGCGCAACACAATGGAAATAGGTCAAAATCCATTGCGTTGCGCAGCGCTTGCGGTGTTGGAGACCGTAAGCCAAGAGTTGTAATGTTGTAATGCACACATTGAGAATTGAGATGTAGCGCACAAAATTGGTTAACCAATATCAAATGATCACAAAAACAGAAAGACAACTGCAGACAATTTACAATAAGGTCACCTTACATCATATTTGAATATGATCACACTACACTCTGTAAGTCAATTTTCCACAAGTCAAACTGATCCAGCTCATAGAATGAAGGAAATATTGTCTTGATTTGGTCTATGTATAAATGATGTGAGGAACAGATTTTGTTCCAGTATTCAAGAAAATATACATAACAGAGAATTATCTCTCTGCTGAGACTCCAATATATCCTGTACCAATTTTCTTGGTCTTCTCTAGAGCTTCTCAATATGTATCCTCCAATCACTGAATTTCAAAAAATCAATTAGTATAGGCTTTTTGTGACTTTAAATATGACAGTGAAACTCTTGTTGAATAAGTGAATTTCCATCCTATCCAAAGATTTTTTTGAATCAAGAATTCAGAGATCTCTTTGGATATCATATTCTTTTTGGAGCCCTTTGTGTTCCATCTATTGCAATTACTGGTTATGAGGACCCATTGAATAATGAGACCACTAGCTGATTTGTGGCTGGCATTCTTATGGATTTCCCAGAGGCGGTGGAAATCTCCTTTTTGGTTGGGTTTTGTGGAATCAGGAGTTTTAACAGTGGCCATAGCCTGCACTGTAGAGTCTGCCATTGGCTTGCATCCTATTTTAACCTTGGCTGAGGCAGGTGGTGAGGATGTCTGAGTCAGTGGCTGAATATTCATGCTTGATTGCTGGTTTGTCTGGAGTTGATGAGGGTGATAAGGGTGATCCTGGCCCAGAGAGTTTTGGTAGACCAACCATTGCTACTGCTGAAGGAGTTCCAATATGATGATTCTGAGGGAATGTTCCAAGATTTACATTTGAAGGTTTGTGGAAAGCAAAGCTTGTGTTGTGTGCAGCATTGGGCCAGGCGAGTGGTCCAAACATTCAAATCCGTGATCATATTGGGGAACATGTTGTGGTTGTCCAATTTGGTGATGATGAAATGGAGCATCAGTGTTGTAGTAACAAATTGGAGGTAGGGTTCAGGGGATGGTACATAATGGTTCATTAGAGCTCTTTAGCATTTGATCTTGGAGCAGACAACCATTGGTGCAAATACTAAAAAAGTCTCAAGAGACCTATCCCAATAAGCTTGACTCTGCCCCACTGTGTTCTGTGTAGATATTGATTCAAAATAAGGATGGGGGTATCAGTAGTGCTTTTTTATTTCTTCATAATTGTGAAGTCCAAGGGAGGCCCCCTCCAAACACACACACAAATTTGACCTTCAGCAGTAAATGTACATCTCATCTTGCAATAGTTCAGCTTCTGTAACTTTCCTACATAAGTAAGCTGCATAGACTGTGCTCACTCCCAGTGGACTTCAAGATCTTGATCTTGGACAGTTTTGTTATTTTCAAAATCATTCCATTGTTCTTTATGGATGTGCAACAGGCTTTTCCAATGTAAAAGGTGACACTTCAAAAACCAATCTGCCAATATTCATCAATACATAGTTTGGTGCAATGATTTAGCATCATAATTCTTTTGATCAACTGCTGAGGTTTGTATCACTACTTGGTCAGACTTGTGAGAGAGCATATGTGATGATTACCTAGACACTGGTGCTGTATCATGAGGCTCAATCACTTCCAATCATCCTGCAGTTTCCACACAAATTGAGTTTTTCCTCCTGATCTTTCTTGACTTTAACATTTCCTTTAACATTTTTTCATTTATTGAGAGAAATCTAGCACAGTTTGATTTTCAACCTTTGATCACTAGTGTCATCCAACATAATCAAGTATATATCACACATTTATATAACATCACAGAACAACTCTTCCAAGGTATCAATTTCTTTTGTAACTGATAGAACAAAGAAGCCCATTCCAAAGATCAAGAACACAGGACCCACAAAACAAGCCAAAAAGAGTGTTCTGATCTGCAAGTTAGCCCAATTCTGTAAAGCAAGATAAACTTTGAGAAATATCCAAACAGACAGGATACCTCTTCCAATTCAAACGATTTACATAAAAACAATGACTGGAATCAATGCCAAGAAAGATCATGCATTCAAGATAAATCATAGAGCTCTTCTTGTTTTACTAAGTATGCAGAAGCTGGTTTATGGAGCAGTCCTGCCTGTTATGCCACATCATACAGATATCAGTGGTGCTTCAACAATCGGTCCAACCACCACCATATCCTCAGTAGGACATGGCACTATGGACAAAAACCCAGAACAGATCTCAAAGGATGCTCAAAAGTATGAAAAACAAAATCAAGTGATTGAGAAGAATTTAAAGAACCCAAAGGAAAGCACAAATGAAGAATTGAGTCAGGAGACCAAGTTTATCAGAAAATTATTGTACTATGATAACTTTATTTCAGATCCACCTATGCAGTCTCATGCACCTGCACCTGCACCAGCTCCTGGTCAAAGAATGGATCTAAAACAAAAGCATGATTATCGGAAACTCACCATAGGTTTGGTTGCAGCACTGGTTTGTTCTGTGTTTGTGTCAATATTGATGAAAGTTATGAAGCAGAAAGACAAAGGTGTTCAGGGCCCTATGTAGTAGATAGGAGAGATAGTAGTCCAGTGTGGCACAAAGAGGAGTGTTTGAGAAGAAACAAAACAAACAGAAATGATTTGGTCCTCGTGTAACTTTTACTTTGTCTTGTCTGGATTATCAGCTTCAGTTTAAACTCCAGGTGTGAGTTTTATATCAAGAAAAATGCTTCATCCTGGTATCTACTTCCAATTGTGTCTCTTCTCACTCACATCTTTCCTTTCTTTCAACCCATCCATCCTTTTGTGGAAGAGTGTCATTCACATTTTTTATAGTATTATGTATTATCTAGCGGTTTAACCCCTTTCCTTCTGTTTCTCCTTTTCTTTTTTTGATCTCCAACAAACTGATTACCAACTGTAACAACCGACTAGAAATTTGCGCCAGAAATTGAACTGTCAAGGTATCATTAAGCTTGATGTTGTTCACAATCGCCCCCAATCGCCTCTGTCATTCATGATCATTGTTCAACCCACATTGGCTGAAATTTGTTCGACCACTTGGCCTTGACCGATTGTCTTCCCGGCCCGCAAACCGTACAAGCTTGACTGACATTCATCAGTCTCCATCACAATATCTGTTGACGTAGTCTCTGGGATGACTTGTCCGCGGAAAGCTTGCAAAAGCACACCCAGATAGTCGCGCCACCCAACATGGCATAAATTGGTTTCATTTCCTCAATCACAATCAAAAACAAAACAGCCAGATAGATCGTACCGGTACTGGAACAGACATATGCAATACTTGTTTGAAGCTCGACCTTCTCAGCATTTAGCAGTGGCAAAGTTGTGTCTATACCCAGTACCAACTCCAATGATTGACCAAGCTTCTGGAGCCTGAGTCTGGCTGAGCATTGACACTTTCGGAGGCAATTCCTTCCGGCATTCAAGGTTGCAAGATTGTTGCATTGGTCATTACTCAAAATTCTATTCCGCAAATGAACTTCTCTCATTCATTAGTCTTGATCAAAATTTCTACCTTGCCATCCTATCAATATCAATAAGTTGTCTGTCTTGTGTGACTATACCCGGATGGCTAGGGCCGTTAACGTGGCAGTGGCACGAATTAGTCCCATCTTCCTCATCCTAACATCTACACAACCAGAGTGACATTTCTTTGGTTAGCATTCATCAGATGTCCGCAAGATGGTATGAGCTGATGACTTGTTCCTTGACCGTTGATGATGGCATTGGATGTCCCTTACCTGCCTTCTCTTGTATCAATTTGATAGATTGTAATTTGAGTTGACGAGTTAGTTAGATCATGAGATCAAGACTCGCCATCTATTTACTTTTTACTTGTGCCTTACTCTCTTGAGATTGATCGTATAAGAATAGGACAACTTTGCTCCACAATTTCGAACTTCATCATCGTCTCATCTTCATATCACTTTCTAAGCTTTCCAAATCTATCAAACCAATCTTAGCACTTTCTTCTTGAGTCTCATTGACCTTTTCATTCGCCTTCAGTAAGTGAAGACATATCTTTATTGCTCAAGTGGTGATACACTATATTTCCCATTGTTCTTTAGTATAACCACTCACAAATTGTTTGTTCTTCGTTTATCGATTTCCTTTGATATCTTATCTTAGATCATCAACCCTTTAGACACCAACAAATCTTTTCTTTGAAAATCTTCAACATCTTCGCCGCTCCTCGCTCTCGTGCCATCAACAGCACAGCTTTATCAACTTTCCTACACTAGCTCACCTTTCGGTTCAGGTACGTGGATTTTATCTTGTTCTGTAAGTTTTTATTTCACTTGTCTTTCTACTGTCCTATAACCATTGGAATCCGACGATCCTGATCATCTGCATACATTTTTTTATAGTTTTGTTCTTTCCTATACTTCCTCATATCATAATCATGTCTTCCACTTCTACTCTACGATTACGACCAGCTCCTCAAGCCGAAATGTCTCGAAAAACCACATGGACAAAGTGTGTAGCCAAATGCCATCTTGAAAGGGAACGACCTGATTTCGCCTCAAGTCAACTACAAACGATCGCGGTCTATTATAACCATGAGCAAAACCTTAAACTTTTGCGAAGGATTAACCCATTCAGCTCAAGAGGAAGGAAACTCAGCAAATCTCAAACCTTGACTCCCCGACAAATAATCCATAAACCTTACTTCAATCAAGAGTTGTATCAAGAATATCGTCAAAGGAAGAGATCCAAGAAGTGGTCAAGAGAGATCCGCACGAGAGAGAGACATGCAAAGATTATCGAAAACGATTCCAAGAGTGTTTTCGAAATCCTTTCTGAACTAAGAATATCACAAATAAATCGACGTAAGGAATTCGAAGAAGGAGCGTCACTCTATTTATCACAAGTCATTCCAAAGCAAGAGTCAGATGAAACAAACGTCAAATCAGAGGACCAACCGATCATACATCACACTCCAACACACCTGGAAGTTAAACAGCAACAAGAAGAACAGTACCAGCTGCAATTGTTGCAACAACAACAAGAAGAGGTGCTAGCTGAGCAAACACGACAGCAAGAAGCTCAGCAAGAAGAAGAGCGACAACTGAAACTTATTCAACAACAACAAGAAGAAGAACAGCAACTGAAACTTATCCAACAACGACAACAAGAAGAACAGCAACTGAAACTTATCCAACAACGACAACAAGAAGAGCACCAACTAGAAAATAATACCAACAACGACAACAAGAAGAACAGCAACTCAAACTATATCCAACAACAACAAGAAGAAGAGTTTCAAAGAAAACTCCATCAGCAGCAACTCCAAGCCGAACAATCCCTCGCCCAACCACCACCACCACCACCACCACCAGTTCAACCCCCACACCCGTCCCGTCCCGGAAGATCTCGCTCAAATGCCCAATCCCTTGGCTCCGCACCTAATCCCATCCCACTTAGCTGGATAATCACATCATCATCCAAGACCACACCCAAAGAAACAGTTTGTCCAGAAATAGAAATGGTCGATGTGTTCTTACCTATCCCATTGGTTGAACTTGTGGTTGAAGATGATCGGATGGATGTGGAGACTGAAAGTCTACTTGAGGATGATAAGATGGTGATTGATGAGGTTGAATTGGTTAGCAATGCACTGGAGTCTGCTTCGGAGTCTGGTTCTGATACGGATACGGATACGGATTGTGTGATGATGGATGTGGGATCTGATTCGGATGAAGAAATGATGGAATGAAATTGATTAAATTTCTCTTGAATTATTTTCCTTTCTGATTAACGTTCTTCTTGAACTTGATTTGATCCTTACTAAAGACAATTTGTATAACTTGATCATCAATTGTATACTATATTCGACCTTTCTTCTCTTCTACAATTTTAATTTTTTATTAATTTTGAAACGTAAAGCATTGAAATCATCTTAGGTTTTGGTTTTTCAATGCACTTCCAACAGATTCACATCTAGCGTACTTTTTTTGGAATTATACTAATTATAGTCATGAATGAAATGAAACCAGTTTGTTTAGAGGGGGGAGCTATAAGTCAGCCCACACTAGAGAATAGTAAATACCAAGGTGATAAGTTTTTTTGAAGGCTTTATGATTAGATTGAGATGATGAAACGTCTTATGACAGGTTAGTTGGTTGAATTAGTAATTGGACGTGTTCATGGAGAGAGAGAGAGAGAGATGATCGATTGAAAACTATTAAATTGAGTTTAATCAAGTGAATTAGATTGAATAGAAGACTTGAATTTAGAGTTAAGTACTCAGATTAAACTGGATTAAACCACTCAAAATATCAAATCATCAATCAATCGTCATCAACCAATCAATCAAGAACAAGAACCACAACAACCACAAGAACAAGAAACCAATCCATCCTATCAATTTATCATCATCATCATCAACCAATAATAAATGAATACCAACACTACAAAGAAAAAGAAAGATTATCAATCTCAATCATTCTCATTCTCATCATCACCATCATCATCCTCAAAATCATCAAAATCACATCATGATTCAATACCACTCTACTATTCACCATCATCAATGATCACAAACCCAATTTACCTTTTAATCTTATCCATCCTACTAATCTCATCCCCAAGTATTCTAACTCAAGCAGCTACTCCAAACCCACCTACTTCAACTATCAACACATTCTCTCATGCACCTTCAAAACTAATTTACTTTGAAGATACTCCTATCATCCTAGCACATGATTCATCAGAAAGATTAGTCAGAAGATCAACAGATGAAGGAAAAACCTGGTCTTTGATCGATACCGTTCCTTCGGGTGATGCATGGGTCTTGATCGATCATAGTTATGATAATCGAGTAGCGTTCATCTTAAGTAAAACTAATAAACATTGGCGTACGATCAATAGAGGTGATTCGTGGCAAAGTTTCGAAACGGCTGATCATCCGACTATTACCTCTTCTCCTTTGGCTTTTCATTCGGTTAAATGGGATTGGATCTTATTTAATGGTCAGAGATGTGAAAGTTTAGGTGGTTGGCAAGGTAAAACATGTTTTGATGAGGTAATCAATCTTCTTTTCTTTTCATCTCAAGCTTTGATTCATAACTGATGGGTTTCTGTTTCTCTTTTGGGGGATATCATAGACTTGGGTGACTACTGATACTTTCTCAACTGCACCTAAGAAGATCATTGATCATACTTCTAAATGTCTTTGGGCTTATTCGAGCAAACACTTCAAATCAACCGTTCCACTCGAAACAGTTTATTGTATAGCATATGAAGCACCTAGTGATGAATTGAAACCCACGACATCTAGAACATCAGGTCCAATAAGTTTATTAGATCGACTTAAAGCTCTAACTGGACAACTTTCTTCATTACGAGAATCAAGATTATATTCAAGTTCAGATTTCTTTGTAAAAGATCGTACGTTGATCGATTTAGGACTCGGAAAGAATAGTAAAGGAGTAGTGGGTATGGGTGCTGTTCAAAAGTATATTGTAGTGGCTCTCAAACCCGGTAATATCTTTTCAGATCCAAGTAATCATCCATCTAGTGCTTCAGATGAGATGTTACTCTTCGTTTCAGAGAACGGAAGGGAATGGTCAAGAGCAAGGTTTCCTCATGGTCATGGATTAAGAGAGAATGCATATACGATTGTCGAATCTACGCCTCATTCGATCATGGTCGATGTCTTGACACATCCATCAGCTGTGGCCGGTACGATGTTCACGTCGAATTCCAATGGAACTTATTTTGTGAAAAGTTTAGATTATACTTCTAGATCGGCTAATGGGATTGTCGATTTCGAAAAGATTGTGGCTATCGAAGGTATCTCGATTGCTAATACGATCTCTAATGCTGATGAGATCGAATCACATCATCATCATAAAAAAGTTCAATCTCAAATCACCTTTGATGATGGAGGTCATTGGCAATTGATCCAAGCTCCTTCTACTAATCTCAAAGGATCAAAACTAGGTTGTGATCCATCTGATTTGCAATCTTGTTCATTACATCTTCATTCAGTTACTCAACCTCATAACTTTGGAAGAGTCTTTTCGACACCTGCTCCGGGCATCTTGATGGCAGTAGGAAGTATTGGAGATCATTTGAAGGCGTATGCAGAATCGGATACGTTTTTGAGTACCGATGGTGGCTTGAGTTGGAAGATGGTACATGAAGGTGCAAGGAAGTATGAGATTGGTGATCAAGGTGGTTTATTGATCACCATTGATGATGAAGAAGCAACAGAAGAAGTAGATTACAGTTATGATTTTGGAAAGACTTGGTAAGTTTGAATTTCAATTCTAAGTTTTGATTCCGAGAGATTGACATTTTGAAGTATGTTTTTGAATGGATTAGGCAAACCATGAGATTAGGACAAAAAGTGGTGCCTAAACATTTAACATCTGTACCTGATGCTACATCACAAAAGTTTTTATTATTAGGTGTCTTGAGTAGAGAAGATGCTAAGAAAGGTAATGGTGATCGACATGTAGTGATCCAATTAGATTTTAGTCAAGTAGGTAGAAAGAAATGTCAAGAATCAGATTTTGAGAATTGGTATGCTAGGAAACTAAGTGGTCATTCGGATTGTTTAATGGGTCATAAGGTTTGGATCTTCTTCTCTTTTCTGATCTGAACCGTATGAATTTATCTTTTACTAACTTTTTTTTTTTTTGGTTGGATAGCAATATTTTAGAAGAAGGAAAGCTGATGCGGATTGTTATGTTGGTGAAAAGTTTCATGAAGCTGTTAGTAAAGAAGAGAATTGTCCTTGTACGGATGAAGATTTTGAATGGTGAGTGCGTCTGTTGGTTTTGGAAGTTCTTCGCGGAATTATAACTAAACGCGATCAATCCTTTATGTGTCATCCTAGTGACTACAATTATGTTCCGGACAATAAGCTATGTGTGTTGGCTGGACCTGAAAAGATTCCGGAAGGGCAATGTGCATCGGCTACAGACAAATTCATGGGTTCTTCAGGATACCGTCTCATACCGGGTAACACCTGTGATCGATCAAAGGGCTTAAAGAAAGATGAACCACAACAAAAGGCGTGTACAGAAGGACAAGCCTTACCTGGACAAGTGACTCATCAACGATTTCAATTCAAAGGATCTGTACTTGAACATATCTATTTTGGTGATAGTCATACTGTCTTAGCCTTCACGTCTGAAAATCAAATTTGGCAATCGATCAATCAAGGATTCAGTTGGAATGAAGTGGTGAAGAATGTCAAGTTTATTTCCATGCAAATGCATCCTTACTCACGTGATCGAGCTTATCTGATCTCACCTAATCAAGAAATTTATTATACGACGGATAAAGGAGCGAGTTGGAATATGTTAAGAACACCTAACGAACCTAATCTACTGGGCATCCCTTTACTTGATTTTCATCCAACAAGAGCTGATTGGTTGATTTGGACAGGTAGTGAAGGATGTCTTGGATCTTCGGTGGGATCGTGTAAAGCGGTTTCGTTTTATACAAAAGATAATGGAAGGTATTGGAATCGGATAGATGAATATGTTAGAGTTTGTTCTTGGGGAAGAGATAAGAAGTTTAGACTAGATGAACGTACGATCTTTTGTGAATCATATTTAAACAAGAAAGGATCACAAAAATCGATGAGTTCGAACCCATTAAGATTAGTGTTAGGGAAAAACTTTTATTCAGATAAGACGACTTTGTTTAATTCGATTGTAGGATTTGCTACGTTTGAAGAGTATATGGTAGTAGCTCAAATCAATGAACATGTAGATCAATTAAACTTACATGTTTCCATGGACGGTACTCATTTTGCTTTAGCACAATTTCCACCCAACTTACGGATCGAAAATAAAGCTTATACCGTACTTGAATCGACCACTGATGCTGTTTTTTTACATGTGACCACTAATGGAGCATCAGGTAGCGAGTTTGGATCATTGTTTAAATCGAATTCTAATGGAACTTATTATAGTCTTTCACTTGAACATGTTAATCGGAATGATAAAGGATATGTCGATTTTGAAAAGATGATGGGATTAGATGGAATAGCTGTGATGAACATTGTTGGGAATCCAGAAGAAGCGATGATCACCAAGCAAAAGAAATTAGTTTCTAGAATCACACATAATGATGGAGGTAGATGGAAACCGATCGCACCACCTGCTAAAGATTCATTAGGACAACCTTATGCTTGTACTTCTACGGCTTGTTCATTACATATTCATGGGTATACTGAACGATCTGATCCGCGTGCTACTTATAGTTCTCCTTCGGCTGTGGGGTTGATGATGGCTGTTGGAAACGTTGGTCATTCATTAGCACCTTATAGTGAATCAGATACGTTTTTAACAAGAGATGGAGGATTCACATGGGAAGAGATTTCGAAAGATGCACATACATGGGAGTATGGAGATCAAGGCTCGATTTTGATTTTAGTGAATGATGAAGGACCAACAGATAAAGTGAAGTTTACATTGGATGAAGGATTGACTTGGAAAGAATATGTGTTTGGTGAAACGCCCATTAGGGTTACTTCGATTGTTACCGTGCCTGATGATACTTCTAGAAAGTTTATTTTGTTTGGAAACTCTAAGAGTTCGGGAGAACATACTGTTGCTGTTCATTTGGATTTTTCAAAGATTACGAATGTGAAATGTAAGTTTTTTTTGAAAAGAATGAATCAAAAAATGAAGATGAGATTGATTGTTTTTGTTTTTTTGGGTTTCCATAGGTGTTTTAGATACAACTGATCCGAATCATGATGATTTCGAACTTTGGTCACCATCTGAAACTCGTTCTGAACCATGTCTCTTTGGTCGTCAAACACTCTACTACCGCCGAGTAAGATCACCCAAAAAGATGTGTTATGTAGGCGAAAAGATTCCACAACCACATAAGATCCAAAGGAATTGTTTATGTTCATCAGAAGATTTCGAATGTGATTTTAATTATAAGCGAGACCCGAAAAGCCAAAGATGTGTGTTAGTAGAAGGAGCTCAACCTTTAAAGAATGATGAATCGGTTTGTAGTTGGAACCAATCCTTTTGGTACGATCGAACTGAGTTTAGAAAGATTCCATATTCTTCTTGTGATGGTGGGATTCAATTAGATAGAGGAGCTCAACATATTTGTTCGGCTCATCAATCACATGGATTTATATGGTGGACCAGTCTTGTAGTCACTCCAGCCCTTTTGTGTGGTTTAGGAGGATTTTGGTGGATGAGAAGAAGAGCTTTAGGTTTGGGAGGAGGGGTAGGGGGTAGAAGAAGAGGCCCGATCGCTTTGCCCGATGGAGGTAGGAGAGGTAGGAATGGAATTGAGCTTTGGGAAACCTTGGTGTCTGTGCCTTGGTTCTTGTTGGGCATTGCTACTTCGGTTTGGGGATTTGTGGTGAGTAGTAATTGGTTGGGTGGAAGTAATCGACAGGGGTATAGACAAGTTAGTTTGGATGATGATGCTGAACTTTTACAGGTTAGTGGTTTTTTTTATAATCCTTTCTTTTTTTTCTGAACTTGAGCTTTGGTGGGTTTTTTTGTTGACTTTTGGACTTTTTTGATTGGTTTATTTAGGATTATGATGATTGAAGTTTTATGAATTTAAGATACATGAAAAAAATCTAAGAAATTTAAAAAAGAAAAACTAAGCATTTATCTTTTTTTTTACATAAAGTTTTTTTTCTTTCTTTTCTTCTTTCTACTGTTTGTGTCTATCTCTTTTCTTTTGTGGGTATGTGTTGTTATGTTGTTGTTGTTGTTGTTGTTGTTGTGTAGTGAAGAATGGAAAGTTTTTTTATTTTTGAACAGAAGAAAGAAGAGCAAGAAGGGAATAAGAGTCAAGGTTGTGGGTTGTGAAGTTTCGTTTTTGTTTTTGTTTTGTTAAAGAGTTTGGTTTATAATTTTTATGTTTGTATTTTGTGAGATGAAGATGAAGAAATGAGTAGAGGTATAGAAGTAGCTAAACAGATGGATTTAGAAAAAGAAAAAGAAAAGATAAGATTTGAAAGGGATATTCCCACTACTTTGAGCCCGCAGGTAAAAATCCGTAGCCCAGAGCCGGGCGTTTGGCAGAATGAAGCACCAAATGGAAAAAAGGGCTACGAGTGAGTCTGAGGGCTTCTTTGAACATTTTACTTTGTCTTACCGTTTCTTTTTTTTTGATCTAATCCTCTTGCTCTTGGGGTGTAGAGACCTTTGTTCTTGTCTGAACAAAGTGATGAATGACTTTTTACACCACGTGTCACAACACTCGCATGAGACATAGCATAAATATGTGCATATATTTCAAAACATTACATAAGAGGGGCATAGGTGAGGGGGAGCATACATAGCATAGCAAACAACACAAACAGCATACAAGTTGAGCAAACACACAAGGAATGGAAACAATAGTAGCAGAATGAGTGTAAAGAAGTTTGAAAAGGAATTAACAAACGAAATAAAATAACAAGTGAAGTAAATCAAAAGATAACACTACAGGTCAGACAAGTTGTGTCGAGAGTTTGCCACATGTCCATTTGAGCTTGATAATGGCTGATCCATTGAGGTACATGCAAAGACTTGATACCTTCTGATAGGGGGCAGTATAGTGCTGGGAAAGGAACCAATTTAGGGCCACACCCCAAGCTCACAAAATGATTCCCATTTACAAATGCAAGAACTATTGGGGTTTTGTTGTTTGGCGGAGTATGATAAGGGAAAAAACTGTAGCAGTTTGCTTTGAGAGGATCAAAAACGACCACAGGGCAGTCATATGCACTGGTGATGACGTAGCCCAAGTAAGGCATACACATCCAGAAGTCTTGAGTGCAAATTGGGCCCTGGGGTTGCAGGCAATTCTGGAGATCAGATATGATTTCTGAGGAGGCCATGGTACCCTTTGAGCGCTGAGTACGAGTGCGCATACCTGGAGTAGTGATAAGTTTTTCATGCACTTCCTTATTTGCAAGGAGTTCATCGAGCAATAGTTTGCAAACTGACACATAAGCAGTGACATGGTATAAGTTGAGTGATTGAGCTATTGCAAGGAATCCACAATTCCCACATGGTGGTGGGCTAAAGACCGACTTGATGTAAGGAACTATGACATTAGGCAGTTGCTGTAATACATCCTGTTCTTCTGGCTTCACCAAAGCACTTTTTTGCAAATTGATTGAAGTCGAAGAAGAGGTTGATTTTGAATGGATTCGACCGCTTTTACTGTTTCCGTGTTTGACTAGGTTAGAATTGACCTTCTCAACTTCTTTAGGTAAGTTGGTAGATGATGGAGTTTGAGTCACTGAGGCTTCAATAGGAAAAACTGCTGCACCAAAAGCCCGACTCGCTTCCAATGTGACTTGTACCTCAGGGTGACGTTGGTCCAAATTGAGATCACTGGCAATTAAGCAGAGACTGAGCTCGGGTAAGAGAACCTGACACAAGTAAAAATCAGGGCTGAGAGGGGTGGCCTTTTTCACGTTGAGATGATTATATGAGGAAGCATCTTTCCGGAAAATGGTCTCCAGTGTTTGGACAATGATCTTGTACCCTTGGTACCCGTAACTGAAACAAATAATCAAGTCAGCAAATAAATCTTCATGAGATGATAAAACTGTAATACTTACTAGCCGGGTTGCTCAACCTCAATATTGTCTAACTGTCCTGAAATGTTCAAAATGTGCCTTCCATTGGTTTTCAGCTTCTTGATAGCATCATCGAGGTAGGTCAAACCTTCAACTTTGTTTACAATTTTACTCAAAATGGCTGTATGAGCATGGATGCGCCTACAAATAGAATAAGGCATATTATTTCCTATACAGAAGATATGTCACATATATCTTAACTAACTCTTCCAAACGATTGAATTTGAGGGTGGTTGGCCATCCCTTACTAATTCCCTGTGGAATGATGTCCGTTTTGGCGTAATGTAGATGGCAAAAGTCCGCGGTCTGGGTGAACTGGATTTCCACAAAGCAATCATCAAATGGGGTTAGATAGGGTTAGATGTAGATGAGATGGGAAACTCACCGGAAGGGACATAGCACCCATACATCCCACTCCCTGTTGAATGTTTGGCAATGCCAAAAGTTCTGCCTTCATGGCAATGAGCTTACTTGATGGTTGAACCGGGAGAGCATCATCACAAAAAGGACAAAGTTCTTGATCTTCTTCTTTGTCAGAATCGGAATCGTCACTGACATTTGAGTATGAACACTCTTGATCTTCTGAGTCGGATGCTGACATATGTTCATCTCTAGTCACTTGGTCATCTTCATCAATATCTGACAGAGTAAGAGGAACGAAATAAAAATGTTGAGACAAGGAAGAGGAAGTGCTGGCAACTAATACATCCTTTGATGAATTGGACTTCAAACTACCAGATCCACTGGCTGAAGGTACCAAGGAAGACAAGGAAGCTACTTTGGTTGATTTAACCAATTGGGCCAGGGGACAAGGACAGGTGGTGACCCGGTGACCACCAACCAAACAAAAGCTACATTTGTTGATACAAGGCTTCTTTCTGGCCTCTTTGAGTTTGACATTGGATTTCCAACAACTAGTGTCCTCTTTTCAGTTAGCAGCTCTTTTGGTGTTGGTAGCGGAAGCACGGGGTCGGCCTCTGTTGTCAGTCTTAACCTCAGCATTCAATATAGGCACAAGAGAGTAACAGTTCGTTTCCAAAAGTGTGAGCCTACTAGCGTCTGTTAGGCTAGTAGAGTCAATAAAAGAGTTGTAGAAGGTCTGATAATTTCTACCAAAGTCGTGTAGATCAATATCTACTAGTATGAATGGGTATAGACTTGGGTGTAAGAGCTTTACTTGCAATAAACAAGTAAAGACTACAGTTAGTTGACCTTTAAACAAAGGCTTTAGTCAAGGGATTTTGGGTTAATTATTGTCTTTACAATAATTAAATATAAGAGCAACTGACGCGCAGTTCTCAATCCTAAATTGATACTCTTCTTATTCAAAGAAAGGTCAAAGAAGGTGGTGTTAAAGTCTATTATGACACCGGGAACTTTACACTCTGACTAATAGAGATTTCCCCGTAGATTTAGAGTTTCTTATATCAGATGAATCCCAAATCTGATATGAGCAATACTCAAGGACTACTTCCTTACAAGTAATTCCACCAAATGGATATTACTAGAAATACTGATTATAGCGTCTAATCAGAAACAAAGTTGAATGAGCACACAGAATAAGCAACAAGACACAAGGTTTGAGGTTCAAGGTTCGTAGAATCAGGCCTTTAAAGTTTGGTAATTGATAAGCAAAGTTTAAAGGTTCTAGGAAGATGAATAAAAGCAAAGTTGTGTAGTTGTTGAATAATAATGTGATGATTTTCCTCTTCTCAATTTGGTTGGATTTCCAGGGTTTATATAGTCTGAACCTTGGAAATCTTTGGACTACAAGTGCGCACAAATTGTGGTTCTATGGTTAGGTTAATTACAGTAAGACAGTTACTATTGGATTATAAGTATACTTCACTTGTTACATATGTGTTACGGCTGTGAAATATATGTAGCTTTGGTTTGTATCAAAGTTATGTATCTTCACACCCTTTGGTGTAAGTTCTGCACATGTTACATATGCTAAATAATATGTAACTTGACTCTTGAAACTGAGCCTTGAGTTGTGATTGCTATTTTTAAGGTTTTTATTATAATACGTCGCCCATTGGTACTCTGGTTTAGTACTCAGGGCTGACATTCCCCACCACCAGAAGAGGTCATACGCCTTCTCAAGGTTTATGATCTCTTTTTGATGCTCTAAATGTGTGGAGTTATTACTTTGGAATTACGAACTTCATTTGTTGGTAAACACTCCCCTGCATGAACTCCTTGAGTTTAGTGTTGATACTCTATATCAGATGCACTATCCTCATATTCTACAAATTCCATTGTATCACCTGCTCCTTCATTGTCATCTTCTCGTCTATCTTCCTCCGCTTCAACTGCATTTATGGCTGTCCCTTTCCCTTTACATGTTCTCCAAACATGCTGAGGATCTGTACTGCCACAGGTATTGCAGGATTTACTACTTTTTCTTTCAGTAGTAGAATTTTGAGCCTTTGTACTGCTGACTTGGTTCTCCTGTTGGGCATCATTTGACTGAGAGTGAAAATTGTTTGCCTGTGTTCTTCTAACAGGCATCAAACTTTTAGCAATATCCTCAAAAGCTAGAATGAAATCTGTCCAATTACTATCTGGACCAATTCTATTTTGGACTGGGATTCTGATTGTGCTGGGTAGCTGCCAAAGTACTTTTTCAGCTACTTCAGATGAGTCTGCATTTGGTCTAAATGATCTAAACCGCTGTTGTTGTCTAGAAGCCCATTTAACACAATCAGAATGGATTTCTGGTTTGAATCTGTCTCTCATGAATAGTCTCTCCATGTAAGACCTCCATTGAGCATTACCAAACCTGGTCTGAATAGCTTGTTTCCATTCCTCCCAAGTTCTATTATGGCTACCATCTTCTTTCATGACATCCATAACCCATTGGCGAGCTACACCAGTAAATACAATTGATAATTTCGATGTAATCAAGATATCTGGCATTTGTAAGCGCACTGGCACTGCATCAACCCAATCAATAAACTCCTGGTGATTGTATTCACCTTCTCCGCTAAAAGTAGGCCAATCCTTGACGTTAGGATATTCTTTCCTTAGTTCTTTTCTGATTGATGCTTGACGCAACAATTCTGTGGTTGTTTCTAAATCTACCATTGAATTGTCAGGATGCAACACAGTGCTTTGACCTATGTGTTGAGACAAGAATGGATTATTTCCAAGGTTAGGGGTAGTTTCCACTCTGAACCTTGATCCATTATCTTGCCTGTCAAGGTGAGTAGGTACACTTCTCACATTTCTTGTTGAACCGCCTTGCATGGGAGTTTGGCTGATACCTTCAAAATTTCTCACCATTGAGCCAACTCTATTTGTAGGTAAAGTATTGTTTTGTACTTGTTCCTGCACTTGCTCTATGTCTTGCTTATTGCTATTTGTCATTTTCAGCAACATCTTTTCAATTTTATCTAATTTACTATTAGTAGAGTTTTCAAACTTTGCTTGACTTTCTTTAATTTCTTCTAGACTTCTTGCAAGAAAGTCTTGAAAATTACTCCGCTGGATTTTCTCATTTTCAACCGCAAGTTTTTGGTCTTGGATGAATTTGTTCATTTCATCACTAGACAGACTGGTGTTCTGATGAAACTTGTTGTCAAGTTTTTCATACAACTTATGATGAAGATTTTGTAACAGTGTAGTTAGAACTTGATCATGTTGAACTACGGTGGGTCTCTCACTCTCATGATTTTCACAAAACTCATTCAAAGTATTTTTGAACTCTAAAATATTCTCATTAATATCATTCAGAGAAAACAAAGAGGATGAATTTTTATCTAAAAACAAATTCAAAGACTCTGAAGGAAATTGATTTAGAAAGGAAACAAACTTTTTATTTAAACTAGAAACATCTTTGTTATCTTGCCTGATAACCTTATAAAGTTCTTTGTATTGTGCATTAACAACTTCTAAAAGATGAAATTCTTTTTTTAATACTTCTGAAAATTTAGAACCTGATTCATTACTAAAATCTCTGATATTGGAATCCAAAACTTCTAAATTACCATTAAATACTTTCAAAAATTCCTTGAGGGACTGATTAAATTCATTAGAAACATTTATCTGTTGTTCAAAATGTCCAAGATAATTGGTTATTTCAGTCATCATTGGTAAAATGAATTCACTCTGAGTTATTTCTGAGAACTTACGCAAGATAACTCTTTCTTGAGTACTCAGTGTACCTAAATCTTTTTCCCCAGGACTCTTTGACTTCTGAAGTTTTGCAAGAAATGACCCTTGTTCAAAGGAATCAGCGCATGGCCTGCTTCCACTTGAGCCTGGTAATAGACCTGAAAGTCCTGCTGGCTTTAGTTCACTTAGCTGTGGTTGTACTATTGAGCCAAATGTCCTTGGTGTCACCTCAGATGGGAGTTCTGCTGGTGGTTCATGGCCGTCTTCAGCTGCTGAGCTTCCGGTTTGACCACTCTCAGACCAAACATATGGATCATCTACTGAGCTGGAAGGTCCTGCCACTGATGGTTGTATTTTACCAACTTCTGTTGTCAATGGAAGGTTGGTTGAGTCCTTTTGCAGAGCCTGAGTGGTAATTGAAAGCTTACCTTTGCCTTCATTTGCCCTTTGCTTACTGCTGGCTGTTGATCCCGCCCTGGATCCAATCTTTGACCGTGGTCCATTGGTTCCAGGCCGGCTGGTGCTGGTGGTTTGGAGGTTGCCATAACGCTCTGGCTCATTACGGCTACGAGGGTGAGGTGGTGGATTCCAATCCGCCATTGTGACAAATGAGCAGATGTGAGGTATAAGAGATTTATAACAAGTCTTGATTTCTTTTATCCAATTTCAAGATATAATATATCAATCTGGTGAACAAATTCCTATGGAATATTTCTGTAGTGCAAGCAAGGTATTCAAGACCTTCTTTACTTGGGGCAATTGTTCTAGAATGAACTTGAAATCTGTTTTCTTGATTCTTTTGTCCTCAAGTCTACTTACTTTGATAAATGACCTCAATGAAAGATTTTACCACAGTAAAAAGAACGTATCCTGGACTTGTCAGAAAAAATCAAAGTCAAGAAGACAACAGTATTGTTATATTAAATCCAATAATGTATTTGATCTTGGATTATCAATTTGTGTGACAGAGAACAAATAAAAACAACTAGATCAGAGTTGCTACTGCAGTTGAAAAAAAAATGCTCTCAAGATTTGATAATGTTTTTAAATCAAAAACTTAGTCAATATGATTTAAATACAATCAACTGGTCAATCTAATGTTGATAAGATAAATCTAAATCAAAAGTTGTACTCAAACTGGTATCTCAGTACTCCAGTTCCTCAGGTACTATAACGGTCTTTTTGAGCCCAAAGCTCAATTGATTTGCCTTGAAACCTATTGATCAATTGAATGGCTACAGTCTCAAGATAGACAATATAGAGAATTTCAAACAGAAACCAAAAGTATTTAATTTCTGATGTCTGATTCTGAATCAATTTAAAATAAAGAAGTCCTACAATCTTACTTACTTTAAAGATTGTGGTGTTGATTTGATCAACGTATGATCAAGTTGACAAACAATTGATTGCAATCTTTTCGCACACAGAAAAAGATGATGGGGTCTAAAAAGGATATTTAAACAAAAGAATCAAAAAATCAGTTCGATTTTTTGTTTATGATCTTGATCTAAAAATGAGATGAAAAGAATCAATACTAACTGGAATTCTTTCCAGAGGTATGATGATCAAGAGAAGATAAACAGAATCGCTTCCAGAGATGATAAGTCCTAATCGATCTTAAATGGCTATGTGGATGTTGAACAGAAAGTAGTGATGATTCTGTTCAAGTGTCTTTTCCCTTGTATCTCTTCTAGAATCAAAAGGTCTTTGATCGGTTCAACACTTCAAAGAGAAAAAATGAGATAAAAATAATGAATGCAAGGTTTCTATTGAATTCTTCTCAATTAATTGTGAGTCCCAGATTTTCTAATTCAAATCTGACTCGTATTGATGGTGTCCTTTCCTCTTCGCAGGTTACGTCACTTCGCTTAGAGTCTCGGTGGCTTTGATCGATCGATCGTACGGTGTTGGAGCTAGGGTGGTGGTTGATGGTCTGCAAGGGGGAATTCAAAAGTCAGTAGGTGTACAGTACCACTGTGGCTTTCGGACCACACGCGGGGCTTCTGTACAATTACTACTTGTGGTAATTGTACACGAGTCACCTGATGATATCTGTATGTCATTTATGTGAGCCACGTGTTTGGCTAATTACACAACACACTATTAATTTTATTATATATAATTCAACAATGAACTATATGTAATTAATTTGTAGATGGATCAACTATTGATCCTATTTCTCAAAATATTAAAAAATATTAAAAAAAATGCGACTTTTGGGGGGGGAAAGAATTTATTTCTTTCCTCCAAGTTATTATCCTAAAATCAAAAAATGCTGAGCTTTCCTCAGTTTTTGCAATTAAAGGTTGATTAAAACAATCAAATAAATGAAAAGAAATGTTTTTTTATTTTATTTTTAAGTTTACTAATGAGACTGAGCTATAAGATGCTCCAAAAAAAATGAACAAAGGTTCTAATTCCCGATGAGGCCCCCAAATGTGAGCCTACTAGCGTCTGTTAGGCTAGTAGAGTCAATAAAAGAGTTGTAGAAGGTCTGATAATTTCTACCAAAGTCGTGTAGATCAATATCTACTAGTATGAATGGGTATAGACTTGGGTGTAAGAGCTTTACTTGCAATAAACAAGTAAAGACTACAGTTAGTTGACCTTTAAACAAAGGCTTTAGTCAAGGGATTTTGGGTTAATTATTGTCTTTACAATAATTAAATATAAGAGCAACTGACGCGCAGTTCTCAATCCTAAATTGACACTCTTCTTATTCAAAGAAAGGTCAAAGAAGGTGGTGTTAAAGTCTATTATGACACCGGGAACTTTACACTCTGACTAATAGAGATTTCCCCGTAGATTTAGAGTTTCTTATATCAGATGAATCCCAAATCTGATATGAGCAATACTCAAGGACTACTTCCTTACAAGTAATTCCACCAAATGGATATTACTAGAAATACTGATTATAGCGTCTAATCAGAAACAAAGTTGAATGAGCACACAGAATAAGCAACAAGACACAAGGTTTGAGGTTCAAGGTTCGTAGAATCAGGCCTTTAAAGTTTGGTAATTGATAAGCAAAGTTTAAAGGTTCTAGGAAGATGAATAAAAGCAAAGTTGTGTAGTTGTTGAATAATAATGTGATGATTTTCCTCTTCTCAATTTGGTTGGATTTCCAGGGTTTATATAGTCTGAACCTTGGAAATCTTTGGACTACAAGTGCGCACAAATTGTGGTTCTATGGTTAGGTTAATTACAGTAAGACAGTTACTATTGGATTATAAGTATACTTCACTTGTTACATATGTGTTACGGCTGTGAAATATATGTAGCTTTGGTTTGTATCAAAGTTATGTATCTTCACACCCTTTGGTGTAAGTTCTGCACATGTTACATATGCTAAATAATATGTAACTTGACTCTTGAAACTGAGCCTTGAGTTGTGATTGCTATTTTTAAGGTTTTTATTATAATACGTCGCCCATTGGTACTCTGGTTTAGTACTCAGGGCTGACAAGAAGCGTAAGTTTGCCAAATAGTTTCCAAAGTGAATGTTCAGGTAGGTCAAGCAGATGATTGAATTTATTTTGGGCTGCTGCTACCAGTCCTTCAAGGGTAGATGGAAGTACTTGCAGAATAAGCTTCCATTGGTCATGAATGAGATTGGGCGAAAGGTATTCGTGATTATTGCGTGATTGAGCCAACTCATGGGAACATGGAAGTCCCCATGTGCCTCGAAAGGTGTGTGTACAGGGAGTTTGAAGAGAGTCCGGAAGGAGATCATACTGTACCTTCACTTTCTTCTAAGCGAAATGTGATACAACACCAGTGAGGTCTTTGCAGAAAACAGGAATATCCTGAAGTGACTTTGTCATTTCAATACCTACTAAGATGGTAATCTTGCTCATTTGATGATCCTCAAAACGCTTAAATGAATTGAAACAGGTTAAGAAATAGTTGTTGCGCCCATCTAGAAACCGTTTTGCTCGGAAATGGCTACCTTCCGTATGTGAGGTCGAAAAATTACCAAAGTGAAGGGTCTGAGAGGTGAATAAATTGACAAATTTTTGACTTTGATAGATCCAAGTACTGTTCAAGTACTCAAAGACATTATGATCTCTAGCCACCTTGGTTACTGCTGCAAGATTGGTGTTCTAATCAGGTTGAGTCAAAGAGGAAACAAATGTGTTCCATAATTTCATAAAGTCAGACCACTCGGCATCTGAGAACTTGCTCTTACAATTTTTGGCTATGTTCAGGTTGATGTGCCAGATACACAAAATGTGAACTGTGTTAGGGAAAACGGAAGAGATAGCGTTGAATAAGGCCGGTTTGGCGTCTGTGACAAAGGTTTGCAGAAGCGCAGTGGGAACCACCTCGTCCTTGTTTTGGAATATGACTTCCTTCATCTGGGTCAAAGCCCACTCGTACTGACTTTGGACCTTGCTGTGGAGGAAGCACATGGCAATGGTGAAAGAGCAATTGGTGTTTGTAGTGCCAACGATGTGTAAAAGGCAGATTGAAGCGATTAGTCTTGTATGTACAATCAAGACTGACTACAGTAGGGAATCTTCGACATAGGGTGATTGCTGAAGGCCTCGCAAAGAATAGGTTGCAAAGAGTACCAATTGGCGAGGTGAGAGTGCGGTGCGCCCAATTAGAAGCCGTGGGTAAATCAAAGAGACCTTGTATTGGTGTGCGACCGTTTAGCCACGTATCGCTCAGACGGGCCCTTACCACAGGGGGAAAAATAAAAGCTCACATAGATGTGAGCAGAGGGTACCTTCCTGATAACTCCAAAAATGGTTCAATTTCCTTCAGATTCTTTCAATTCACCATTTGGTGGTGCCAACATTCTCAGCCTGTAATACTTAGGTATTGCTTGAGTTTGCTAAAGCATGCTCATCTTCATCTTGGATGAGCCTCTCTTGAGCATGGATGAGTGCTCAGGACCCAGCTGACACATCACTGTATACTCAGAATCGCCTTCAGAAGGGTCCAAAGGATGTCACTGAGTATTGGCTGAGGGGCCACTCAGCTAGTCCTAAGTGGCATTCCTGGGATTGGAGGTATCCAAAGGATCTCACTCAGTATTGGCTGAGGGGATGCTCAGTTCAGCACAGAGTGGTATTCCTGGGATCAGGAGGATCCAAAGGATCTCAAAGGATGTCACTGAGTATTGGCTGAGGGGCCGCTCACCTAGTCCTCAGTGGCATTCCTGGGATCAGAAGTATCCAAAGGGATGGTTCCCATTGTGTTTTTCACATTTGGCAGGGTCTCTCGCCGCAACTGTGCAGGCTGAGCATTGGAGGGCCCGACATGACCTGAGCAGATGAGCTAGCCCTCCCTCAGGCTTCTTGGCTAGGGATAAGGCCTGAGGAAGGCCTAACTCATCTGCTCAGGCCATGCTGACCATTTGATCAGATGATGAGCTGAAAGAAAACTGGAGGAAAATTGGAAGAAAATTGTAAACAAACTGGGAACAATCTTTGAGAAACCTTCAAACTTTCTCTGCTCACATCTATGTGAGCTTCTATTTTTCCCCCTGTGTACATTGTGGATGTCCCAGAATAAAGGCTGAGACCCGGGCGCGACATTGATTAGGGTGCAAATCTGACCAGAGCGACAGCCGGCAGAAGATAGATATTTGA